CATTTCAACAAACTAATATGAGGTGAATTATCAACTCACTGTTGCTTAATATCATCCCTGTGACTAATTTCTCTAGTTTCACACAGAATTAAGCCTATGTGCTAAAATGGCACCTTCCCATGTAATCACAGAAGGTTTAACGCCTGCCCATTTACCTCCTCCCTCTTCACCATCCAAGGCCCCAAACATACCTTCCAGGTGAAGCAGCGATTTACCTGTACTTCATTCAATACTGTATTGACTGTTTACAGTGTGGTCTCTTCTAAGCTGGGGAAACAAAATGCAGGCTGGGCGACCACACTGCAGTGCACCTACGTTCTGTCTGCAAAAATGACCCTGGAGCTTCCAGTTACCCACCACTTCAACATACCATTGTGTTCCCCCTCCAATACTTCTGTTGCAGGCCTGCTGCAGTGTTCCAGCGAGCCTCAGCGCAAGCTTGAAGGACAACATCTCATTTTCCGCTTAGGGACCCTGTAGCTTCTAGGACTTGACATTGAGTTCAATAACTTTAGACATTTTAACATTCTTCTGTAGTGATTGAAACAAGGTTAGCCAGGTGAAATATGAGTTCCCTGATTGGGGCTGTCAATCTGGTCCAATCAGGGAACCCTGGCTGACTGATATAAACAGGAATGTCAGTCAGGACCTTGTAGGAATGTACCAAAATGGGGGAGGGCAAATTACATGAGTATCAGGCAGGATGTACAGAGTGTTAATTGGAAGGAGCTGTTATCGGGCAAGTCCACATTTGATATGTGGGAGCTGTTTAAAGTCCTACTGATCAGAGTTCAGGGCTGGCATGTTCCAGTAAGGAGGAAGGACAAGGATGGCAAGGTAAGGGGCCCCTGGATAATGAGGGAGGTTGTGAATTTAGTCAAAAGGAAGAAAGAAGCATATGTAAGGTTCAGGAGGCTAAAAATTGGACAGGGACTGTGAGGAATATAAAAAAAGCAGGGAAGATCTCAAGCAGAGAATTAGGAGAGCAAGAAGGGGCCATAAAATGACCTTGGCAACTAGGGTTAAAGGGAATCCCAAGGCATTCTATATATACATTAAAAACAAGGGAATAACTAAGGAGAAGGTAGGACCACTCAAGGATAATGGAGGGAACTTGTGTTTGGAGGCAGAGGATCTGGGCGAGATCCTAAATGAGTACTTTGTGTTGGTATTCACTCAGAAGGATATGAGGGATAATGTGGAGTATGCTAATATGCTAGGGCATTTTGAGGTCAAGAAAGAAGTGGAGTTGGGTCTCTTGAAGAGCATTAAGGTGGATACATCCCCAGGGCCCGATAGTATCTACCCCGGGTTATTGAGAGAGGCAAGAGAGGAGATTGCTGGGGCCTTGACCAAGATCTTTGTATCCTTGCTCGCCACTGAAGAGGTGGATGTGAGTAGCTAATGTTGTTCCTCTGTTCAAGAAGGGAAATAGGGTTAATCCAGGAAACTATAGACCAGTGAGTCTCACATCGGTGGTTGGGAAGCAATTGGAGAGAATTCTCAGGGATAGGATTTACGTGCATCTGGAAGAGCATGGCCTAATTAGGGACAGTCAGCATGGCTTTGTGCAGGGCAGGCCATGTCTTACTAACTTGATTGAATTTTTCGAGGCGGTAACAAAGGTGATCAATGATGGTAGAGCAGGGGATGTTGTCTACATGAATTTTAGTAAGGCTTTCGACAAGGTCCCTCATGGTAGGTTCATCCAGAAGACTAAGATGCATGGGATCCACGCTGACTTGGCCGTATGGATTTAGAATCGGCTTGGCCATAGAAGGCAGAGGGTGGTGGTGGAAGGGTGTTTTTCCAGCTGGAAGTCCTTGACTAGTAGTCACGTACTGAGATCCGTGCTGGGACCTCTGGTCTTTGTGCTATATATCCAAATGACTTGGATGAAAATGTAGATGGGTGCGTTAGTAAGTTTGCAGACAATACAAAGATCAGTGGAGTTGTGGATACTGTAGATGGTTGTCAAAAGATACAGCGTGATATAGCTCAGCTGCAGACATGGGCAGAGAAATAACAGATAGAGTTTCATCCGGTTGAGTGTGAGGTACTGCACTTTGGGAGATCAAATGTTAAGGACAAGTATATGGTTAACGGCAGGACCCTGAACAGCATTAATGTACAGAGGGATCTTGGGTTCAAGTTCATAGATCACTGAAAGTGGCCACACAAGCAGATAGGGTGTTAGAAGGTGTATGGCATGCTTGCCTTTATTGGTTGGTGAACTGAGTACAAGAGTCAGGATGTCATGTTGCAGATTTGAGTATTATGTTCAATTCTGGTTGCCACATTACAGGGAGGAGTGGAGGCTTTGGAGAAGGTGCAGAAGAGGTTTACCAGGATGCTGCCTGGATTAGAGGGTATGAGCCAAAAGGACAGGATAGAAAAACTAGGATTGTTTTCTCTGGAGCTGCGGAGGCTGAGAGAAGACTTGATAGAAGTCTATAAAATTATGAGATGCATAGATAGGGTTGACGGACAGAATCTTTTTCCCAGAGTCGAAACGTCCAAAGCTAGGGGACATGCATTTAAGGTGAGAGGGGGAAAGTTCAAAGGAAGGGCGAGTTTTTACACAGAGAGTGAAAGGAGTCTGGTACACACTGCCAGGGGTGGCGGTGGAGGCAGATATGATAAGGGCATTTAAGGGACTTTTAGATAAGCACATGAATATGCAAGGAACAGAGGGATATGGATCAAGGGCAGGCAGAAGTTTAATTTCTCAACCTGTTCAGCACAAAATCGTGGACCAAAGGACCGATTCCTGTGCTGTTACAGTTCTATATTCAGTGTACCTCAGGGTTAAATGCCATCCATCTGACCAACCTATTTATATCTTCCTGTAACCTACAACCATCTTCTTCGCTATTAACCACTCTACCAATCTTGGTGTCATGTGCAAATTTGCTTAACATTCCCCCCACATTTTCATCCACACCATTTATGTATATAATGAACAATAAGGGTCCTAGTACTGATCTTTGTGGTACACTGGCCTCCAGTCACTCAAACTGCCTTCTACCACTACCCTTTGTGTCCTATTACTAAGCCAGTTTCTGATCCATCTCGCCAGGTTTCCCTTAATTCCATGTGCTTTAACCTTCCCAATCAGTCTCCCATGTGGAACCTTATCAAAAGCTTTGCTAAAATCCAAATAAACTACATCAACTAAAATCCCTCATCTACACATTTGATCACATTTTCAAAAAATTCTAACAAATTTGTTAGACATGATCTCCCTCTGACAAAGACATGCTGACTTTCCCTAATTAACCCATGCCTTTCTAAGTGGGTATTAATTCACTCCTTCAGAATTTTCTCCAATAGTTTCCCCACCACTGACGTGAGACTCACGGGTCTGTAATTTCCTGGTTCACCTTTACACCTCATTGAAAAGTGGAATCACATTAGCTGTCCTCCAGTCCTCTGGCACTTCCCCTGGGGCCAGAGAGGAATTAAAAATGTGTCAGAGCCCCTACAATTTCCTGCTTCACCTCCCACAGCAGCCTGGGATGCAATTCATCTGGGCCAGGAGGTTTGTCTGTTTTTAAGGCCGACAAAGCCTCCAATACCTCTCTATTTACTACATCAAACTGTGCAACTTCCTCACTGTCCCTTTTCCTGAATTCCATTCCTATGTTCGCCTTTTCCAGAGTGAAGACTGAGAGAAGTATTCATTCGTTCCAATATCCTGCAGCTTCACACACAGATTGCTCCCTTGGTCCCTAACGAGCCCTACCCTTTCCCTTGTTAACCGCTTCCTTTCGATGTATTTATAAAATATCTTAGGATTCTACCTAATATTGTTTGCAAGTCCTTTCTCATGTCTCCTTTTTGCTCTTCTAATTGCTTTCGTAAGTTCCTTCCGTCACTTCCTGTATTCCTCTAGGGCCGCAGCTGAATTACGCCTTTTGGACTCGCTAAAAGCCCTCTTCTATGTCTAGCTGGAGACTGGTAATGGTACCAGTGGCAGGGCAAACCGCTTACCCATCTTTCCAACAAAAAAAAAATTGTGTGGGTCTATAACAGGGAGAAGCTCCTAACAAACAAGGACAAT